TCAGGTGCTTCTGGATCAAAAGGAGTGTACACACATTAGACCTCCATAAGATGCTTGAGGAATGCTGCAGGACTCTCATTCGGTCCCTGATAGACCTCTGCTACCTTATATAAGTTAGTAGGGTGGTGTGCAGCAGCCAGAAGCCCCTTCCTCAGGACCTGGCAGTGGACCCTGAGCTCCTTCATTCCCTCCTCAGTGTTATAATCCCAATTAGGCTCCCCCTTAGGTAAGACTTGGGCCATTGTTGCTTCCCCTTCCTGCACTGTTCCTCCTGTCTCTAACCTTACTTGTTCCTCTGCTGCCCTCTGAATTCTGTTTCTCTCCTCAGAGATGAACAGAGTCATAAGAATCTGTTGGCAATTGTCCCAAAAGGGGCGGTGTGTCCTGAATACTCATTCTAAGAGCATGATTAGTGCCTATGGCTGTTCCGTGAAGGAGGGATTCTGGTTTCTCCAGTTACACAAATCACTCGTAGAAAAGGGACGTACACCAAGGTGGCTCAGAGGTTTCCCCCTTGTTCCACCACCACTGTCTGCCTAAGGGGCAAAATTGCAACCAGACCCGAAGAGGAAACCTCGTCCTCTTCTCCATCCCCCATAGGTGCAGGGGAGGACTGTTGGCACCTGCAGGCCAGGCCAGTGCAGTCAGCATGCTGGCACCCACTGCTCAGCTGCAATCGTGAAGCAGGTTCTTCATCTGGGGGTGCCGCTCCTGGGACAGGATAGATTGATGGCCCTGCAATACGTGAGACAAGAGAATCACTTTCCTCTGGTGCTGATGGCAATGCAGGGGGCCTGGGACCCAAGGATTTTTCTTTTATAATCAATACATGATCAGGGGCCCCACAGGCGCACATCCTGAGCCACTCTGGCAATGTTTGAGCCACAGCAAGCCAACAGTCAATATAGGGAAACTTATCTGGTTAACCCAGCTTCACAGCCACTATGTCCCAGACTCTGCTGGCTATGTGAGGATCGATCATTCCATCAGCTGGCCAACCCACCCCAAACAAAGGCCATTCCCACTTACACAGCGTCCTAAGCTTTTGCTTTGTCATTTTCACCCCATAGTCGCCCTTATATTTATGAAAATTCTGGAGCATGCAGTTCAACATGATTGGTTTGCTGTCAGAAGCCCCCATAGCGGAAATCCCAAAAGCGATTTTGATCGATCCACACACCAAGCAGAATTACAAGGCTAACATAGTGCAACACTATAGCAGTAACTATGACAGAACAGAGCAGCTGAGCAGGATCAGAATTTTTCCAGGCTTCCAAGTAAGCCACTCCCAGCAGCAGAAAAGACAGGAGGAGAATGGCCAGAATTCCTACCATCTTGTATGGTGAAGCTCTGCATCATTGCCAGTGTTTTTTTTTTTTTTTTTTAATTACATGTTACTGTCTTTGATTGTTTGATCAATCTTACATTCTTATGTCTGGTGGACTGAGCAACTTAGTTGAAAATAATAATATGTAATGAAGCAACCATTGTTAATTCCTATCATTTTGTTTTGAGGTCATGTATCACTTTTGTTGTTTTTGTGTTGTTTTGATTTTGTCTTCATTGTTGTTTTGTTAGGTTTTTTAATTTTTCAAATGAAAAGATTAAAAAGAAACAAACATTAAATCTACTTGGAGGGAAAGTAGGTCGAAATCTTGAAGAAGTAGGTATAGGCAGAGACTTCATGAAAAAAACCATACTGCATAGGAAAAGTTGAAAGAGTCAACAAATGGGGTCTCATCTTACTGAAAACCTTTGCACATCAAAACAATCACAAAGAGTAAAAAGAAAACACAAAATGTGATAAAATCTTAGCCAACTGTCCCTTTTAACAACATGTCCTTATCTACAACATATGAAGAATTTTTTTAAAATAAGGCAAGACCAAATACAACAATGAGCATCTGAGATGAATACACACTTCTCAGGTGGAAAATTACAAATGGCAAATAAATACATACAAAAATGTTCAACACTATTAGTCACTCAAGAAATGCAAATTAAAACAACACTGAAATTCCATCTCATCCCAGAAACAATGGCTATCATCAAGAAATTAACCCACAGCAAATGCTGGAAGGGCTGTGGGAAAAAAGAAACATTTCTCCGTTGTTGGTGGGAGGGTAGACTGGTGGATCCACTGTGGAAATCACTCTGGAGATTCCACAGTAAACTAGTATTAGAGGTCCCATTCAACCCAGCAATTTTCCTTTTGGGTTTTTATCCACAACAACTGAAGTCATCATACCACAGCAATATATGTGCACCATGTTTATAGCAGCACACTTTGTAATAGCCAAATCATTGAAACAACACAAATGCTCTAACTGAAGAATGGATGAAAAAGATGTGGTATTTTTATATAATGCAATATTACTCAGCTATAAAGAGAGAAAACTCAAGGCTTCTATAGGTAAATGGATACAACTAGAGACCACACTCATAAGTGAAATAAATCAAACTCATAAGTGTATAAACATTGCATTGTTTCCTTGGTGTAAGGACCTGGAAGCATAAATGAAATCAGAAAGGTACAATAGATATTGTGTAAGGGAAAGAAACTGCTCAAAAGGAAAGAATGGCAGGCATCTGGAAAAGAGAAAAGAGAAAAAGAAGGAAGGGAAAATATATACACAAGCTAGCTAAGATAATTGTACTACTAATTTCTACTGCTTTATTGAAAGAAACAGTTAATGTTTAATTGTTTGATCAATCTTACATGCCTATATTTGTATATCTGAGTAACCAATTTGAAGAAAAGAATATGTAATACAACAACCATTCTTAATTTTTTATCACCTTGTCTGAAATTTTGTATTGCTTTTATTGTTTCTTTGTTTTCTTGTTTATGACTTTCTTTGTTAATTTGTTTTGATTCTTTCCTCTGTAAAATAAAAACACAGTAAATAAAAATGTAAGTTTATCAAGGCATTGCACTATATGCCATTCATATAAATTACTTATTATTTAGTGTGAAACATTAACAAGTAAGAAAATAAAGTTAGATTAAAAAGTATAATATTTGAGATCAGAAACTAATGTGTAAATGATAGAAAAGAGCTTTAGTACTTATACATTTTGTATAAAGTACTTATACATTTTGTACTTCTATGAAAATTTAACACTCTGATGAGGAAAAAGGAAAGAAGGGGAAAATATGAAATATATATATATATATACACACATATACAATATAGTAAAGACAGTTATATAGCTAATTTCTCTGAGTTCATTGAAAAGAAAGGTTTGTGATAGTATTGTTTGAAAAATATTCCATGCCTGTTTGTAATTGTTTGTAATTGCTGAATTGTGGAAGCAGTCCAAATGTCTATCCACTGAGGACTGGATAAAAAAAATTTTGGTACTTTTATATAATGGAATATTACTCAGCTATAAAGAAAGATAAACTAGAGGTTTTATAGGTAAATGGTCACAACTAGAGACCATACTCATAAGTGAAATAAATCAGATCTGCATGTGTAAACACCACATTGTCTCACTAGTGTAAGACCTGAAAGAGTGAATAAAAACTAGGAGCTATGAAAGACATTGTGAAATGAAAGGGAAATGCTCAAAAATAAAGGGTAACTGGGGTGTGGGAAAAGAAAAGGTAAAGAAGGGGAAATTATGTATGTATGTACACACAGGATAGCTAACATAGTTGAACTGCTGTCTTCTATTGCTTTACTGAAAGAAACAATTAATGATTACTTGATTGATCAGTATTGCATGTTTCTATTTGTTTTCTTGAGAAACCACTTTGAAGATATCAATACATAATACAAGCATTGTTAGTTTCTTATCACTCTGTTTGTAACTCTGTATTGTTTGTATTGTTCCTTTGCTTTGTTGTAAATGGTTGTCTGTTTGTTAATGTGTTTTGCTTCTTTTACACTTAAAATAAATTTTAAAAAAGAAAAATATTCCATGCCTGTATCTTGTACTCTGATTAACTACCATGAAGACAACAGTACACAATATTGTTCCTCATCTATTAACCTCTTCTGAAACACTGTTTTATTTTTATTTCTATTTTTTCTCTTTAAAATAAAGAAACAACTTGACACAATTTAAAGTAATTCTTAAATTTTTACAGTAGTGTGGTACATATATGAACATTATGAAGAATTTCTAATGTGTAGATACTATGAAGTGAATATGGGTAAACACTTAATTTGTGACAAGCAGGCCATGAAAAATAAAAGATTTGAAAACACAAGATTTCACAAGGAAATCACAGGTTTTATGCTACAACCTCCCAAGCATGCAAAAGTATAAGGTGAGGAGAACAGATATCAGTATCCATAGAACATGTAGAAATTTTCAACATTCTTCCCAAGGAAACAGCTTTGGAGGATATCCTGCCATCTTCTCCTGATATATTTTATCAAATGCTTCAGCTTGGGCTACAGTGAAGTGATTCTTCCAGTCCCCAGTGACTCCTGGAAAACATGGCACAGAGATTTAGATCCGGTCTAGTGATGGGGCCTAAGACTTCAGCACATCTCATTGATCAATTCCTAGAATCCACCTGACATAGAGAAAGTAGATGGCATAGCTGAAGGACCAGTTGAGAGCCAGTGGCCACTGAGAGCCCTTCTATACTTGGGTGCCCATGATTTACACTTCTACCTGCACAGAAACACTTCTTTTTTCCTGTTCTCTCCCAGCTGATCCTGTGTAAAGTCCTTCAGCCACAAGCCTGGCTCAATCTTCTGACACATTTAGAATGTACTCCTTTCACCATGTCTGCTTCTACTGCCTTGCCAACAAAGTCAACAGCATTTGCCATCTGGGTTACCATAATAAATTGTAACTGGAATGTCTAGCTTTTCTGTGTAGGCAGCTCAATTTCTAAATGTGAATAATTCATAAGCTTGCATATTCTCTAGATATTAATTTCTTTTGATATTTCTACTCAGTTCTTAAGAAACCTTTCAATAACTTTTGTATTTATTGCCTGGGCTGCCAAAACAAGGTAACACAGACTGGGTGGGTGATTTAAACACTAAGCATTAATTTTCTCACAGTTCTAGAGGCTAGAATATTATCTTACACTGATAGGGGTCCTGGGCTTTTATGAGGGTGCTGGGGAAAGCATATGTTGTAGGCCTCTGTCCTTGATGATATATGGCCATCTTATTCCATGTCTCCACATTGTCCTTCCTCTGTGTCTGTGACTTAATTTCCTCTTTTAAAAATACCACCCATGTTTGATTATGACCTGACACAGTAGCATCATTTTAGCCTAATTACCTCTGTAAAAACTTTCTGTCCAAATGCTATGGTACTCAGAGACTTCTACCTCCACATGTCAGTTCTTCAATGAGAACTATTCAACCCTTTTATCTTGATCATGAAAGCATCTTTTTCAAAATTGTGTCAAATACTATTATCAATAATGGCAGAGTCTGCATGAACCCTTCTATCTTCTAAGTTTTTTATTGCCTCTGAATATTGAACCACTGATGAGTCAATGGCATCAAATTTAAAACAAACCTCATTAGATCTTAGGGTCCTAATTAAAAGATTTAGCACTGAGGTATTAACAGCTTCAACATTTTAACCAGTTAGGTGACAAATCACTACCACATGTTAATTACTGTACTTTAAACCAAGTAATGTATATATTGTGTTTTATTAATTGTTCTCTGTTCAGTCAACAACTACTACCAAAAAATCATAGAATTCCTATTTTGTGCCAGATACTACCTTCTACAGTAGAAAAAAAGCACAGATACTAATAACTGACTAAACAAAAAATACCTACTGTGATGTTTTAGAAGTAACCACTAAACCTAATTTAAAGACTTGGTTATGAGCATTAGTGCTACTGAGAAGTGGTGAAAATTTTAGATGTGGGACATTTTGGAAAGAGGTTAGGTCAACTGGAATATGCCCTTGGAGGGGACTGAGAGAAAACAGATGGTAATTAAAGCTTAATTAGTCTCCAGTCTGAGCACAAGGACAAAAGCTCAATATCTTAACTCTACATTCTATTCTCACGGAGAGGAATGTCTGACATGTCCCCTGACAGATTCTGAAAGCAGAACATTTCTCTTACCTTTCCTTATAAATGAGAAATTCTCATTCACATAACTATCAGGTAACATGGTGAAATTGGACATCTTGTTTTCTTTCATGAATTGAAAGGAGCTATACTTGAGGACTAAATCTATTTCTTCTGGTTTTAACTTCTTTCCCAAGAATTCACAGATCTTCTCTACAGTGACTCTTGTGTCCTAAAAGAAGCAAAACCCAGAGAAAGACTTGATGAGGAAAAATGAGGAGAGAAGAAAGAATGGAGCTATTGAACATAGAGAACGGGAAAGATAACGATAATCAAAATGTATCAAAGGCAGAAAAGTTTGAGTTGGATCAAGAGGAGGAAGAGAGTGAGACAGGCAAAATGAGATGGTCTGAAGTGTGTGTATAATGCAGAGATGAAGGACTTCCGAGTGTGACTGGGTACAGTACTCCATCTAAACAGGACCTGGGACTGTCATGGCCACTCTTAGATATAGATGTAGACAATAGTAAGCCTACGGAAGCAGAAGCTCAGTGAGAACTTGAGAAAGATTCGTGCTTACACCAAAAAAGACTGTTTCCAATAAGTAATGTTTCAATAACACAAAGCATTTATAAGATCGTATACTACATGATCTCAATAATTACTATTTACTCAGAGAGTATGATAAGAACAGCAGTCTTTGTAAGAAGGTTTTGCTTTGTATTCCATTGCATGATCCACATTCAAAAACTAAGAAGAAGACACAAATGTAGCAATAAGTCAAGATGTGTTGCTTGTGTGATTTCAGAGGAGGCTGTGGGAGTGTGCAGCTTTAGGTACTAAGCTCAGGACCCAAGGCTTCTTGATGAAATACAACAACTATTGTTAATTTCCTGTCACCTTGGCTGTCATTCACTATTGCTTGTATTGTTCTTATGCTATCTGGTAAATGGATGTCTGTTTGTTAATATGTTTTCATTCTTTTATTTTTAAAATAAAAGAAACCAAAACAAAGAAAAAGAATTCATGCTAAGAACCTAGAGGGCTGTACTGAAGTAGCCCGAGGAAAGTGATGACAGCTTTGATTCTGTGCTGAGGGTAAAGCCTGTACCATGTTATTTTCTCTTTTCCAACTGTCTACTCAGTTTTATTTTCATTTACACTCTTTTTTATTAGTATTAATTTTACTGCTGCATTTTAGATATACATAATGATCACATTCATTAGAAAAAGTTTGTACCCCTACTGGTTTTGTTGACTTTTTTTTCTCAAAACCCTTCTCCTCCCTTCAACCCCTACTCCCCTCCTTATTTACACAAGCTTTGCTTCCATTTTCTTCCTTCTATTCTTGTTTTCTTTTCCCTTCCTTAAATTCTCTCTCCCTCATCCCTTGTTCTCCTTCCCATTTGAATATTTTCTTCCTATTTCTCAGTACCTGTTATGCACTTTGGTACTTATTTACCCCTTTACTTTCTCCCAAGAGAAACAATGTGATATTTAAATATGTGTGTCTGAATTATCTCATTTAATGGAATGGACTCTTTCTTCCCTTCCTTCCTTTCCCCCTCTCCTTGTCCTAGTTCCCTGGTTTCTTTATTTTGAATAAATTCTTCCTACTTTAAAATATCTTTTATACAATTTGCTCCTTATTTATACATTTGGTATCTCACACCAGAGTAACAATGTGATATTTACACATGTGAGTCCGATTTATTTCACTTAAGAATATAGTCTCAAGGCGCATTCATTTACCTAGAAATGTCCCAAGTTTATCCTTCTTTATGGCTGAGTAGTGCTCCAGTGTATGAAAAACCACATCTTTATTCATTCTTTGGTTGATGGGCATTTTGGTTGTTTCCAAGATTCAGATATTTTACACACTGTGCTGCGATAAACATAGGTGTGCCTATATTGCTGCTATGATGTTTTTAAGTCTTCCAGGAAGACACCCAGAAAGAGAATGGCTGGATCAAATGAATCTTTAATCCTAGTATTGTGAGAAAGTGCTTCATAGCACTTTCCACAATGGTTGCACCAGTCTACTATCTCACCAACAATGCAGAAGGTACATTTTCAGCATAGACCATCCACCATTTGTTATTGGTTGATGTATTGATAATAGCCATTCTTTCTGGGGTGAGATAGAATCCAGTATTGCCCTAATTTGCATCTCTCACTTGACCAGTGATGTTATACCATCCCTGCGGCCCTGGAATGAATCCTACTTGTTGAAGGTGTACAATCTTCTTCACGATTTACGGCATTCTGTTTACCAGTATCTTATTGAGGATTTTTGCATCTATGTTCATTGGAGAGATTGGCCTGTAGTTCTCTTTCTTGGTTGGATCTCTCTCTGGTTCTGGTATCAGGGTAATACTTGCCAATAGGAAGACTTTGGAAGTATTGCTTCCCTTTTGATTTCCTTGAAGAGTTTCATCACCAGTGGCATTAAATCTCCTAAATTCATGTAGAATTCAGCAATAGATCTATCAGGGTCTAGACTTTTATTTGCTGGTAAATTTTTAATTACATTTTCAATTTCACTGACTCATACTGAGTTATTCAGAATTTTTATACCTTCTTCATTCAGTCTTGACAATGTCAGCTTCTTTATCCATGTATCTGGGACTGGTCCATTTCTTCTGCTTTCCAACTATTTACAGAACATGTTCTTGAAAGTACTGATGGTATTCTGGATTTCCACAGGATTCATTGCAATTTCACACTCTTCATTCCTAATTTCATGCATTTGAGTGCTTTCTATCTTCCTTTTGATAAAGTGAACTAAGGGTTTATCAATTTTATTTAATCTTTCAAAAAACCAAGTCTTCAATTCATTCATACGTTGAATTGTTCTCTTAGTCTTGATTGCATTAATTTCTGCTCTTATACTTATAATTTCCCCTATGATTTTGAGCTTTAGGTTTTATGTGTTCTTCTTTTTCTAGAGATCTGAGGTTCAACATTAGGTTGTTTATTTGAGCTCATTCTATTTTCCTTATGTGAGAGTTCATTGCTATAAATCTCTCTCTTAGGACTGCTTTTTTTTTTTTAGGACTGCTTTTATTGCATCCCATAAGTTCCTGTATGTTATCTCAGCATTATCATATAATTGTAGAAATTCTCTAAATTCTTCTTTCATTTCATGTGACCCATTGGTGGTACATGGATGTTATCTAATTTTCAGATATTTAAGTGGTTTTGTGATTTCTTTGGCCATTGATGTCAAATTTCAATGCTCTAAGGTCAGATAGTATACATGGGATCATTTCAGTTCCTTTGCATTACTTAAGCATGTTCTATGCACTAGTATATGGTCTACATTGGAGAATGTCCCATGTGCAGCTAAGAAGAATGTGTATTCTGATGCTGTGGAGTGGAATACTCTGTAAACATCTACAAAGTCTATTTGTCCACAAGTTTGGTTTACTCCAATATTTTTCTTGATTGTTTTTGTCTAGTTGATCTATTTGTGACAGTGGAGTATTAAGGCCCCCATTATAATTGCTTTGGTGCTTATTTGATTTTTCATATCTGTTAATATTTTTTTATGTAGTTGGGTGCACTGGTATTTGATGCATATATATATTTATGATTGTCATCTCTTCCTTTTGGAATTCTACCTTAACAAGTATGTAATGACCTTTGTCTGTTTTGATGAGTCTTGGTTTGAAGTTCGCATTTTCAGCAAATAGAGTAGCTACTCCTGCTTTCCTCTGGGTTCCTGTCAAATGGAGTATTGTTTTCCATTCTTTGGCTTTCAGTCTAAGAATTTCTTTTGAAATTCAATGTGTTTCTTGTATACAGAATATTGTGGGATTTTGTTTCTTGATCTATTCTGCAAGTCTGTTTCTGTTAATAGGTGAATTGAGAGCATTTACATTGATGCTTATAACTGATATGTGTTGGTTTATTCTTCTCATTTGATTTTTTTGTTGTTCATACTCGGTCCTTCCCTCCTGTTTAATTGCATTCCCTGCCCAATTTATTCTTGCTATTGGTGTTTTTGTCATTTTGGCCTCCCTTATTTATTCTAAAATATCATTCAGAGAATTTTGGAGAGCTGGTTAGGTGCTCATGAATTTCTTCAGTTGTTCTTTGCATGGAAGTATCTTATTTCTCCATTAATTTTCAAAGGTAGCTTTGCAGGGTGCATAAATATGGGTTGGAGGTTGTTTTCTTTCAGGACATAAAGTACTTTGTGCTCTTCTTGACTTGAGGGTCTGTGTTGAGAAGCCTGTTGTGATTCTGATGGGCTTTCATTTATGGGTGATCTGTTTCCTTTCTCTTGCAGATTTTAATATCCTGCTCTTGTTCTGAATTTCTGGCATCCTCATTATTATATTCTTTGGTGTGGATTTATTTTGGGCACAGCTAATTGGAGCTCTATATGCTTCACCTATTGAATGTCAGCTTCTTTATCCATGTTTGGAAAGTGTTCTGCCATTACTTCTGTGAAGAGGTCTTTAATGGCGTTTGAGCTATATTTGGCTTTTCATTAACACAAATCAACCTTATGTTGTACTTTGCTTCATCTTGCAACTTTTCATTGATTTTCTATGGTACATTTCTGTTTTTAAGATATTTCACTTTTTGTGGTCACTAACTGCGATCCTGTGTTCTAGATCTGATAGTCTATCTTTGCCTTCATTCAATCTATTGCATATATTTTCTTGTTTTTTTTTTCTGCTATGGGAATTGAACTCACAACCTCGCACTTGCCAGGCAGGTGCTGTGCCACTGAGCTAAATCCCCAGCCCCTATTGTATATATTTTCAATAGAACTGTCAACTAATTGGATATCTACTTGGATCTGTTTCATGGCTTCCATTCATTTCCTATGTTGAGAGATCATGGTTTCTAAGCTCCTATGCTTTGTTCTATCTGTGTCTACTCTGCATTCATTAGGTGTGTCTTTCATTTTGATTGTCATTTCTTTTTACACTTGAGAAATTATTTTTCTACAGCCATATTGCTTTGGTTTTTCATTTCTGCTGCTATCATTTCAGAAAGACCAAGCGTGTGTCTTCCAATTTCCTCTATGTCACTGTGCTCTGGACTTTTCCTGGATAGGCTGGAGGTTGGGGTTGCATTTTTCCTCTGCCTCCTGTAATTTTTTATGTTTTATTGTCTGTGCTGGTACTTGTAGATTTCCTATGGTAGATAATTTTATCCCTCCCCATAGAGAAGTACCAATACTCCTCTATGAAATATCTATTCCTGGGAATTGTCTTCCACATGCAGGTGGTTCTCAGTCTGTGTCTCTCCCAAGAACCTACCTTCTCAATTTAGTAAGGAAGAAAAGTTAATAATGATTTGGCTCAGCACCCCTTCCTTTAGACTTGGAATATGGTGATGGTTATTACCCCAGACAATCACAATGTTAGCATATGAAGGAGGAAAACTGACTACATCATGTATTGCTAAAGTACTGCAATTAGCAATAACTATATGATCAAGCACAGCCCAGCAACTGACACACTGTGGTAACTATTAATTTGGTACCTTTAATCTTAAGAGCAGGCTCTAAAGTTATATAACAAAATTCAACATATACCAGCAGCTTGTATGCAATGAGTTTCCCTTGGTAAATTGATTTTTCCCTGTTTGGATGGTATTTAAGAGGAGTAGAGAAAAAGGAGTGAGATGAATGAGGAGAAAGACAATACACTCAAGGCCATAAGATAAAGGATGGTCAACCAATTTTGGGGAGTCTGGAGAAAGTGCAGAAAAGAAAGAATGACAGAGAAAGCAAAAGAATATTCAAGCAATCCAGGTTATCAGTAGCATTACATTGAGACAATGTACATTCACATGAAACTATCATAAAATCAAGATAGTTCAAGGAAGAGAGAAAGACAAATACAACAATATAAAGCTACAGGTAAGAAGTCCAATTAGTCAAAAGAAAATATAATAAAAAGAACCCAATAACAAAAAAAAAACACAAGACAAAAAAACACACATAAAACAACAGCAACACCAAACTGGGCCCAATCAGCCTGAAAAAGGAAAACCAATCAAACAAAGAAAAAGGAGGAGAAAAATAAAATACTTCTGATGGCCACAATTTTGTTGTAGTGTCCAAGACAGATCCCACAGATGTATTGTGTACTCACACCAAGTTTGCCATAGAACGTGTGCTGGGTTGGGGGTTCATTTTCTCCTCTGCTTATAAGGCCTAGGGCTGGCCTTCAGCTGACGTTTCAGGTGTCTTTTTCTCCTTAGTGTGCTTGTCTCTATGGCACTATGCCAGTGGTTATCATTCCGTTGGGTAGGGAAACCCAGAGGGTGTTCCCAGACCCATGTCCAGGTGTCACCTTCCAGACCTTGCCCACCTTCCTCTGTTCCACACCACTTGCTTCTCTAATCCACTGATCACTCGGCAGGGGGAATGCCCGTGTCCCACAGTAGGACAAGTGGGTTTGCCTGTTTGTGTCACTCTCAGGGCTGTTCTGCTGGTCTCAGATCAGAAGAGTTTTTCTGGTCCTTTGTATTTAGGAATAAGAGTAGTTTTGGCAACCACCTGAGTGCGTCTGGCTGGTACCAGCTCATACATCCCAGCACATCTCCCCTGAACCTGCTGACAACTGCCCTCGGTCTACTCTGACTGGATGGCTCTTCCCTGATTCCCCTCAGGGGCTTTGCCACTGAGCTGACCAGGCCTCTTCTTCTGCTGGGGTTCACCCTGTTCCCCCTGGAGTAAAATGGTGACCCCCTAGCCTACTCCCTTTTTCTCCTCTAGCCTTCTTCTGTTTCACTTATCTGTACGCCAAGGCACAGCACCAGTTCACCTCACTCACCACCTGCTGATTTTGTTGGCCACTGATTTTGTTGGGCTCTCTGTTGGGGAAAAGAGTTATTCACTGTTTGGTGGGGATCTCATTTACATTCTTTAAAAATCAACAATTTAAGTATCAACATTTGAATAGATAGATAGATAGACAGATAGATAGATAGATAGATAGATAGAAACTTTAGAAATAAAGAAAGTACAGTATGGCATATTAATACATATGCAATGTGTAATGATCAGGTTTGGGAAACTGGCAGAGCTTTAAACTCACACAAACCTCATTTGTTTGTGTTAGGAAAGTCAGGTTATCAGTAGCATCACAAGCCCTGTCCACAGAAACTGTCCCACCACCACGAAACATCATAATCCACCTCAGCATGCTGAAAAATCTTACACGTTGTGAATAGAAACAAAGAAGAAAACCTGAGAAAATCATGAACCAGAATTAGGAGAAAGCCAGAATGAAGGGAATAAAACCAGCGTGTTAAGCTCTCTTTTAGTGCATTTTTATGAGACTGAACTTTGACAGAGAAGATAGAAACACGCTCCTGAGAGACAGGGTATTACATGGAGTACAGGCAGTAGGGAGACAGTGTACGCTGACCGCGGAACACAGGTTACCTTCTTCAGTTCTTCGTAACTCACCACCAGGACATTTTCCCTCTCTCTCATGGACAGCCAGCCACGAATGTGCTCAAACCACGACCCATAAGCCACTGCGTGGGGGATGCAGAAGGAGTGACAGATTACAAATTCTAGAAATTAGGGGTCCCTTGTATAAACTTCTATCTTCCCGCTCCCCTCTGTCACTTTAAGCTACAGTCCACAAATAAATCTTGTGTAGATTTTCAGTGTACACCATGACTTTGATATATACATGGAAGCTATAGTGACATAAAACACCAAAGACACGAGACACTTGCACTTCTAACCAGAAATGGAAAGAGGGAGCAGTAAGTAAACTGCAAGATGTGTGTCTCTGTTTCATCTCACAGTATTTTGCCATTTCCACCCATTTCATACGGATGACAGAAGTTTAACCTGCTGCATGGCAGAGAAGTACTTCGTCACGAACAGATGCCAGATTTTTATTCATTCAGCTGTTGATGGACATACAGACTTCTTCCAAGAGTTAGCAATTATACTTTGGGCTGTTACATATAAGGCTATGTTTCTATCACTATAATATGATGTTTTTAACTCTTTCTGGAAGATACCTAGAGGGGAAACGTCTGGGCCACATGGAGATTCTACTTGTAGTTTGCTTGTTTGTTTGTTTCTTTGTTTGCTGAGTATACCTTTATATACCTTTAGCATGTGCATCTCACCATTACCTTGGAAATGTGTACATGGACATAATACAACTTATTTCATTTTAATCCACTTCCTTCCCCACTTTCTTTTTTTATTATAAAGAGAGTAGTAAATGAGAAACAAATAAACAAAAAAATAGAACAGCACCAGCATACCAGTGTCATGAACATAAACAAATCAAAACAAGAACACTTAAAGTGATACAGAGTCTCAAGACAAAATAATATGAATCAACAGTGGTTGTCACACTACAGATAGCCATCCTCAACTACACTGCTCAGATTACCAGATGTAAGAATGAAAGATTGTTCAATCCGTTAAACAGAATAAAAAAATAATTCTTAGATAAAACATTACAGATAATACAGAGTTTCACTAGACAAGATGGTAGGAGTTAACCATTGTAATTCCATTGCATATTGTTACCTTCAAATCAGTTGCTCAGACCACCAGACACAGGGATACAAAATCCATCACAACATAACAAATTGTAAGCATTAATTGTTCATTTCAATACATCGTACATCAGCAGTACAGTTATCGCAGCTGTTCATTTATATATTTCTATTTTGCATTCCTGCTTTCTCTTTTCTTCTTACCCTCATCCCAATCATTCCTTCCATTGAGCAATTTCTTTCCCTTTCCTATCATATACTGTATGCTTTGAGTGTTACCTAGTCTTTAAGGTTCCTGCACCAAGGAGACAATATGATGTTTACCCATCTGGGTCCTATTTATTTCACTTATGAGTATGGTCTCTAGTTCTATCCACTTACCTACAAAAGCCTCGAGTTTATCTTCCTTAATAACTGAGTAATACTCCATTGTGCAAAAAATACCACATCTTTTTTATCCATTCCGCAGTGGATGGGCATCTGGGTTGTTTCCAATATTTAGCTATAACAAATTGTGCTGCTATAAACATGGGTGCACATATATCACTGTGGTATGATGTCTTTAATTCTCCTGGGAAAATACCCAGCTGGGTTAAATGGGACTTCCAGTCCTAGTTTTGTGAGGAATCCCCACACTGATGTCCACAGTGACTTCAACAATCTACACTCCCACCAGCAGTGGACTAGAGTTCCATTTTCCATAAAGCCTCTCCAGCATTTGTTATAAGTTGATTTCTTGATGATAGCCATTCTTTCTGGGGTGAGATGGAATCTCAGTGCTCTTTTAATTTGCATTTCTCAAATGACTAATGACGTTAAACATTTTTTCATGTATTATTCACCATTAGTATCTCTTCCTTAGAGAAGTGTGCATTCATCTCAGATGCCAATTTTTGGATTGGGTCTTTGAATTTGGGGGGCCTGATTTTTTTTAAGTCTTTATGTGTCCTAAATAGAAGTCCTTTGTCTGAGGGGAAGTTGCTTAAAATTTTTTCCAAATTCATGGATTTTCTTTTTACATTATTGGTGACTTCTTTAGATGTGCAAAAACTTTTTAATAAGATGAGATCCCAGTTGCTGATTCTTAGAAGTATTTCCCATGCAGTTTAGGGGTTTTGTCATGAACTCTCTGCCTACCCCAATGTCGTCAAGATTTCTACCTAGTTTCTCTTCCAATAAATTTAGTCTTTCTGTTTTCATACTTAGAGCTTTCATCCATTTTGACTTTAGTTCAGTGCATGGTGACAGACATGGGTCAGTTTTAGTCTTCAGCATGTGGAAAGCCAGTTTTTCTAGCACCATTTATCAAAGAGGCTATCTTCCTTCCACTGAACATGTTTGGCCCTTTGTTAAAGATAAGGTGATTTGGTGTGTTTGTAGTTATATCTGTATCTTCTAATCTATTCCATTGATCTTCAGGTCTGTTTTTGTGCCACTACCCTGCTGATTTTATCACAGTAGCTTTGTAATATCATTTTAAGTCATTAATTGTGATGCCTCTTGCCTTTCCTTTGTTTCCCAAGGTTGTTTTGCTAGTCTAGGCCTCTTCTGGTTCCAGATGAACTGTAGGAATGTTTTCTCTAGATCTGTGAGGTACACTAATAGCATTTTAACTGAGATTGCATTGAATCTGTACAACACTTTTGGGAGTGTGGTCATTTTCACAATGTTGGCTCTTCCTATCCATGAGCAAGGAATATCTTTCCATTTTCTGATATCCTCTTTGATCTCTTTTTTCAGAGTACTATAATTTTCACTGTATAGATCTTTGACTTCTTTTGTTAGATTGATTCCTAAATATTTCATCTTTTTAGATGCCATTGTGAAAGGTGTGATTTCGCTAATGTCTGTCTCAGTCTGTTTGTTACTTGTGTACAGTCATGCTATTGATTTTTGAGCGTTAACTTTGTATCCAGCTATGCTACTGAATTTGGTTATTAAATCCATAAGTCTTCTGGGGGAATTTTTTTTATTTTAAGGAGAGTAGTAAATGACAAAGAAACAAAGAAATAGAACAGTAGGAGCATACCAGTATCACAAACATAAACAGATCAAAGCAAGAACATTCAAAGTGATACAGGGTCTTAAGACAAAATATTTTGGTGGAATTTTGGGGGTGTTTTGTGCAGAGTATCATGTCATCTGGGAATAATGACAATTTCACTTCTTCCTTACATATCCTTATTCCTTTTATTTCTCTCTCTTGTCTAATTGCTCTAACTAATATTTCTAGAACTATATCGAATAGGAGTGCTGACAATGGACGTTCTTGTCTTGTTCCTGATTGTAAAATGAAAGCTTTTGATAGACATTGTGAAATGATAGGAAAATACTCAAGGGTAAAGGCAACTGGGATGTGGGAAAAGAAAAGGGAAAGAAGGAAAAATTTTGTATGTAAGTATATACAAGATAGTTAACATAGTTGTTCTACTGTCTTCTATTTCTTTGCTGAAAGGAACTACTGATAAGTCCCTGATTGATCAATATTGCATGTCTCTATCTGTCTTCATGAGAAACCACTTTGAAGATATCAATATGTAATACCACAAGCATTGTTAATTTCCTACCACTTTGTTTGTAACTCTGTATTGTCTGTACTGTTCTTTTGCTATTTTGTAAAAGGTAGTCTGTCTGTTAATGTTTTCCTCCTTTTATTTTTAAAATAAAAAAAACAAAAATTTTTAAAAAATAAAATGAAAGCTTTAAATTTTGGACCATTTAGTATGATGTTAGCTGTTGGTTTATCATAGACGACTTTGATCAGCTTGAGGTAAAAGCCATTTATTCCTATTTTCTATAGGGTTTTCATCATGAATGAGTGTTGGACTTTATTGGAGGCTTTTTCTGAACTGAGGCAGAGGATCTTGTAATTATTGCCCTTCACTCTATTAACATGGTATATTACATTAATTGATTTCTGTATATTGAACCATCCCTGCATTCCTGGGGTGAATCCCACTTGGTCATGGTATATGATCTTCTTGATGATTTGTTGTGTTCTGTTTGCTAGTATTTTACTGAGAATTTTTGCATTTATATTCATTAAGGATATTGGCCTATAGTTCTCTTTTTTGGTTGGGTCTTTCTCTGGTTTTAGTATCAGGATAATAAATGACTCCAAGGATGAGCTGGGGAGAATTCATCCCCTTTCAGTTTCATTAAAAAGTTTGAGAAGGGCTGGGGATTTAGCTCAGCGGCAAAAGCGCCTGCCTGGCAAGCGCAAGGTCGTGAGTTCGGTTCCCGGTACCGGAGAAAAACCAAAAAAAAAAGTTTGAGAAGAATTGGTGTTAACTCTCCCATAAATTTCATATAAAATACAGCTGTGAATCCATCAGGACTGGAGCTTTTATTCATTGGTAAGTTTTTAATTACAGTCTCAATTTCACTGGCTGATACTGAGTTATTCAGGATTTGTATATTTTCTTCATTCAGCTCTGGTAATTCATATGTATCTAGAAATCTGCCCACTTCCTCTGCCTTTTCCATCCTGTGAGAGTAAAGAGTTTCAAAGTAGGTATTGATAATCTGAATTTCTTCAGGATCTGTAGTGATTTCCCTCTTTCATTCCTTATTGTGTGTATTTCAGTTTTTTCCTTCCTTTTTTTGATAAGCTTGGCTAGGGGTTTATCTATTTTATTTATTCTTTCAAAGAACCAACTCTTTCATTCATTAATTCTTTGTATTGCTTTTTAGTCTCCATTGTGTTAATTTCTGCTCTGAGATTTGTAATTTCCTGCCTTCTCTGGGCTCTGGGTTTGACTTGTTCTTCTTTTCCTAGGACCTTGACGTGCAGCATAAGATTGTATTTGAGCTTGTTCTGTTTTCCTGAGGTGGGAGTTTACTGCTGTAAATTTCCCTTTGAGGATTGCTTTCATTGCATCCCACAGGTTCCTGTAAAGTGTATCTACATCTTCGTTTGATTGTAAGTAGTGTTTAATTGCCACTTTGATTTCGTCTGTGATCCATTGGTTGTTCAGGAGGATGTTATTTAATTTCCACCTGTTTAT